TTAAAAAAAAAAAAAATTTGCTGGCCAGGCGCAGTGGCTCATGCCTGTAATCCCAGCACTTTGGGAGGCTGAGGCAGGTGAATCACGAGGTCAGGAGATTGAGACCATCCTGGCTAACATGGTGAAACCCCGTCTCTACTAAAAATACAAAAAAATTAGCCTGGTGTGGTGGTGGGCGCCCGTAGTCCCAGCTACTTGGGAGGCTGAGGCAGGAGAGTGGCATGAACCCAGGAGGCGGAGCTTGCAGTGAGCTGAGATCGCGCCACTACACTCCAGCCTGGACGATAGAGTGAGACTCTGTCTCAAAAGATAAATAAATAAATAAATAATTGCCAGTATTATGTTTGTTTGTTTTGCTTTAATTTACATTTCTGTGATTACTAATTGAGATTGAAGATCTTTTCATACACTTGTAAGCCAGCTGAGTTTCTGCTTCTGTGATTTACGTTTTTATAATCTTTGCCCATTTTTCCATGACAAATGGTAAAATTATTTATTTTTTGATTTGCAAGAGTTCCTTGTATATCCTATCCTAATTATTAGTTCCTTGTCTTTTTTTTTTTTTTTGGAGATGGAAGTCTCACTATGTTGCCCAGGCTAGAGTGCAGTGGCTATCAGTGGCTATTCACAGGTGTGTAATTATGGCTCCACTGCAGCCTTGAACTCCTGGGCTCAAACAGTCCTCCCACCTCAGCCTGCAGAGTAGCTGGAACTACAAGTATGCGCCATCATGTCTGGCTAATTTTAAAATTTTTTGTAGAGACAGGGTCTTACTATGTTGCCCAGGCTTTTATTTTCTACTTGGATATTGATGTGTTAGGAAATGATAAATGGGTTTTTAAAAATAAATTCATTTTTTACTTTATCTATCTGAAAAAAACTTGTGATACAATCTGTATGAAGTGTTTTAATAACATGTACTTGAAGGTTAATTTTTTTTTTTCTTATATTTGAATAGAATTAGAACAATAAAAACTTGCTTTTGTGGCCGGGCACAGTGGCTCACGCCTGTAATCCAAGCACTTTGGGAGGCTGAGGTGGGTGGATCACGAGGTCAGGAGTTCAAGACCAGCCTGGCCAAGATGGTGAAACTTCGTCTTTACTAAAAATACAAAAAAATTAGCTGGGTGTGGTGGCACACGCCTGTAATCCCAGCTATTTGGATGGCTGAAGCAGAGAATTCCTTAAACCCAGGAGGCAGAGGTTGCAGTGAGCCGAGATCGCACCACTGAACTCCAGTGCAACAGAGCAAGACTGGGCGACAGAGCAAGACTCCATCTAAAAAAAAAAAAAAAAAAACTGCTTTTGTGATAATGTTAGATTATGATAGTCCTAGATTCCAGGTCTAAGAATTTGCATAAGAATGAGGGTTTTTTGTTTTGTTTTGTTTTTCTTTGAGAAGGAGCCACTCTATCACCCAGGCTGGAGTGCAGTGGTGCAATGTCGGCTCACTGCAACCTCCGCCAGAATGAGGTCTTTTTTTTAATTGAATATTATGAAATTCAGTTGTATGCCCCCAGAGCAAATAATTCTGCATAAGTTTCATGTTTTGGCTGGGCGTGGTGGCTCACACCTGTAATCCCAGCACTTTGGGAGGCCGAGGCTGGTGGATCACCTGTGGTCAGGAGTTCGAGACCAGCCTGGCCAACATGGTGAAACCCTATCTCTACTAAAAATACAAAAATTAGTCAGGCACGGTGGCAGGTGCCTGTAATCCCAGCTACTTAGGAGGCTGAGGCAGGAGAATTGCCTGAGTCCAGGAGGCGGAGGGTGCAGTGAGCCGAGGTCACGCCACTGCACTCCAGCCTGGGTGGGGACAGAGCAAGACTCTGTCTCAAAAAAAAAAGAAAAAAAAAAAAGATGTAAGATGTAAACTTTGCTTTTGCTGCTGAACAATTGTATGATATGCCTTTAATGTGTTTTGCAGAAGGGTGGTAGTAAAACTGCCCAGGGAAGCTTGTGACTTAAGGAATTATTTTATTTTCTGATCCTGATAATGCAAACTATGTCAAACTAGAGGCTGCAGATCCTTTAGTTCTTTGGACAAAATATAATGGACAATAAAGATATGCCGCTTATAAAGGAAGCAAAATCATGGCATATAAGCTTTTGATATTTGATATTTTATTATTCTGGGACCAGAGTCAGAAGTTTAATTATCGTAAGAAAGGTGTTCTTTGGTCTTACCTTTCTGTACCACATCTTATTATATAACTTTCTTTTTTTTAATTTCCATATGCAACACTGATTTTTTGGTATCACCCAGGCTGGAATGCAGTTGTGAGATCTTGGCACACTGCAGCCTCCACCTCCGGGGTTCAAGTGATTCTCATGCCTCAACCTCCTGAGTAGCTGGGGTTGTAGACATTTGCCACCATGCTGGCTAAGTTAAAATGGTCCAGAAAGTCACACAATTACAATAAATTATTCATATTTTTATTTCCCAAAGCTAATATATACTAGTATAAGTTGTTTTAAATGATGGGTGTTTTAATAGTATTTATTGCTCTTAATATATGCAAGCCTTGGTGTTTCAGGAAAATAGATAATTAAAAAAAAAAATGCACAAGCCACTGTGCTGAGGAACTTTATTTTAAAAAACTACCTTTTGACCTTGCACGGTGGCTCACGCCTATAATCCCAGCACTTTGGGAGCCCTTGAGATCAGGAGTTTAAGACCAGCCTGGCCAGCATGGTGAAACCCCATCTCTACTAAAAATACGAAAATTAGCTGAGCCTGGAGGTGCACAGCAATAGTCCCAGCTACTCAGGAGGCTGAGGCAGGATAATTGCTTGAACCTGGGAAGTGGAGGTTGCAGTGAGCTGAGATCGTTCCACTGCAGTCTAGCCTGGGCAGCAGAGCAACTCTGTCTCAAAAAAAAATAAAAATTAATGAACTGTCTTTTAATCCTCATAACAGCTATATGAAGTGCAGTTTGTAGACAAGGAAACTGAAGCTTAGAGAATTATGTAACTTGTCCGAAGTCATATGGTCAGTAGGTTATGAAGCCAGTATTTGAATCTTGCTTGACTGCAGAATGTTCTTTTAACAATTATGCTCTACTTCTTATGATCATACATGGTGGCTCATGCCTGTAATCCCCATCACTTTGTGAGGCCAAGGCTGGGGGCTGGGGAGATGGGGGGCACATGGGGGGGTTGCTTGAGTCTAGGAGTTTGAGACCATCCTTGGTGACATGGTGAAACCCCGTCTCTACAAAAAATACAAATTAGCTGGACGTGGTGGCATCTGCCTGTAGTCCTAGCTACTTGGGAGGCTGAGGTAGGAGGATCGCTTGAGCTCAGGAGGCAGAGATTGCCCCGCCAAAAGACAGGGTTTTTTTAAAGTTTTTTTTCTTTTTTGAGGGGGAGTTCGCTCAGCTCACCCAACCTCCGCCTCCCAGGTTCAAGCAATTCTCCTGTCTCAACCTCCTGAGTAGCTGGGATTACAGGTGTGCACCACCACGCCTGGCTAATTTTTATATTTGTATTTTTAGTAGAGACGGGGTTTTACCATGGTGGTCGGACTGGTCTCAAACTCCTGACCTCGTGATCTGCCCGCGTTAGCCTCCCAAAGTGCTGGAATTACAGACGTGAACCACCACGCACGGCCCAAAAGATAGTTTTTAAAAATAAAGTTCCTTGGCCTGGCATGGTGGCTCACGCCTGTAATCCCAGCACTTTGGGAGGCCGAGGAGGGTGGATCACAAGGGCAGGAGATCGAGACCGTCCTGGCTAACATGGTGAAACCCTGTCTCTACTAAAAAAAAATACAAAAAAAATTAGCTGGGAATGGTGGCAGGCACCTGTAGTCCCAGCTACTTGGGAGGCTGAGGCAGGAGAATGGTGTGGACCCGGGAGGCAAAGCTTGCAGTGAGCCAAGATCACACCACTGCACTCCAGCCTGGGCAACAGAGCGAGACTCTCTCAAAAAATAAAATAAAGTTCCTCAGCACAATGGCTTGCGTGTATTTTTCTTTTCTTTTTTTTTTTATTATCTATTTTCCTGAAACACCAAGGCTTGCACATATTAAGAACAATAAATACTATTAAAACATCCATCATTTAAAATAGTGTATACTAGTATATATTAGTGAGCCAAGATCATGCCACTACACTCCAACCTGGATGACAGAGTGTCACTCTGTCTTAAAAAATATAACAATTATGTCTACTTCCTTTTACAGATAAAAGGTTAAGGATTTTAATGTGGTACTTGGAAGCTAGCTAGAATAGTTGAAGGAGAGGACTTCGTGATAGATAAACTTGCAATAAACCCTAAAATATAGATGTGTTTAAGCAAAGGAAAGAAGAACAGAGTTGAGTAGTAAGAGCTTGCCGGGTACGGTGGCTCAGGCCTGTAATCCTGGCACTTTGGGAGTCCGAGGTGGGCAGATCATGAGGTCAGGAGATTGAGACCATTCTGGCTAACATGGTGAAACCCCATCTCTACTAAAAATACAAAAAATTAGCCGGGCGTGGTGGTGGGCGCCTGTAGTCCCAGCTACTCGGGAGG